TTATTTTGATATATCACAGTGAAAGATTTATCGTCCTCTTTTTTTTTTTTTTTTTCAAAAAAAAAAAAAAAAAAAAAAAAAAAAAAAAAAAAAAAAAGAGGACATGGTTCTAGAAACAGATGGTCCTCCCAAGGAAAGAAGCAAATACACAGCCCATCTCCTGCTTAGAGAAGGCTCCTTCTAAGGGCACCTTTCTAAAAGGTGGCACAGGCAGATGCGGTACAACTACAAGGGGTGTCTTGGCACCTGGGAGACTACATTGAACACACCTGTATGGAATGCAGGGTCCTGTGTGAGCCACATGACAACTGATTACCAAACCATTCCTCAAGGTGAATGTTCACGTATTGTTAGACACTCAGACATACAAAGATAACTCTATGCTCCTGATATTTAGATTTCCTCTCATAGGGGAAAAGTATCAGGGAGGCTTTCTGAAGAAAATGAATCAACAGGCATAGTGATTTTCTCCCAGCATCAGCTCCCATTTCAGAGGCTGAAATGCCATCAGATCCTCAAGATACATTTACAGGGAAACTTGGTGTCTGACTTACCTATCGGATTTCTATCAAAGAACAACACTGGAGCTTTCAGGATTGACTCAAACATTTTGTTGTGCAAAGTTTGGGAAGCATTCACTAGGACGTAGAATACCAGTAGAGATCTTGCTATTCCAAAAAGCACAGTAGCCACAGTTAAACCTGAAATAAAGAGAAATTGCTCAGAGGAAACAGATCTTTGTATTTTTTTCTTCAATAATTCTTTCTTTACAGGTCAGATAGTTTATAAAGCTATTACTTCTTTTATTCTGTAAAGCATCTAGGTTCTACATAAGTATAATGTATTTATAAGATAGACTAACAGGAATTATAATAGTTGTTTTTTGTTTTGTTTCTTTTCTCATTGAATGGAAAATATGTGTGGAGGTAGGAGGGTAAATAAAATAGAAACTACAATTTCATTCCAAGTTTTCAAAATTCAACTACACGTTCAATAAAACTCAGAAGATAATCATAAAAATCTTCCCTTCCCTTCTCAATATTGCAAATATTATTTAGAACAAGCCCCATAATCTAACATTGTGGTGTGTTTTTATACTAACGTGATATTAACATGGAACAGGAGAAATGATTTACCTTTTCCTTGTAGTAAATGCCCAAGGAGCTTTAAAGAATTTGAAAATACCACATTAAATTGCACATGGAAAAACTTTTAAATTTCAAGAAAGTATAAATGTTTTAACATAAAACAATTAATTTAAATAAGCAACTAATCACCTACTATGTGTCTCATAAAAACACAAAGAATTTTTAAATGAGCAAAATTTAAACCATTTATTTTATTAAGGTATGCATGAACTGCTACTATGCACAAAGATTTCCTAATATGTGTGTGTGGTGGGGGGGTGTGCTTGTGTTGCTGGGGCTCCAACAGCTTCATGCATGCTAGGTAAGTGTTCTACCATTGACCAACATCCCCAGACTCTGCTTTCCTAGTCTCTATTAGCTATCAGCTCACACTGCTACACAGACCGGGAAGAACATATGTGATAAACATTTTGCCTTCTAACAACACAGTATATTACTTAACCTCTGAAAGCTGCTTAAATTCTAAAACTCCATAAATGTGCATTTTCCGTAGCTTCCCATCCTTCTTGAATATATAATGGACCTAATTCCCTTTTTTCCTTTTGTTCTGTAGAGTTCACCAATGGGATGGTAACCAGCTAATGGATTTAGGTTTCTTAGCAAGAGATCAACAAAATAAGTGCCAAATCTTAGCAAGTGGGTTCTTACAAAAATAAGTCACTCTATCTGAGGGAAGCTTGTATGAGTGTTTCCTATGAGAATTCTTAAAATTTTAGATGAGGATTTCCTTTTAAAGGTATGTAATTCTATACATATTCAGTCACTCTTGTGAAGACAGAGCACACAATATTAATATTAGTCTGGCAAACAAAATGTTAAATATATCACACAGTTGGAGACGAGATAACATTGTGATCTGGAGGTAAGAAAAGAGAAGGAGTCCTAATTCCCAGACACTGGGTTTCTCCCTGCTTAGCTTCCCTCTTCAGTAATTAGTGAAGCCCAAGAGATGAGCAGTATGGTATAAGGAGCTTTGCACACCTGTGAGGGAATAATGCTTTCATTTGGGGGGCCTTGCTGCCAGAGGATTTCATCCAAGTTCAATCAAAGCATGGGTTTATTCAGACAGAATTGGAACAATCCAAACCACAGGGTGGGGATCCGTTTCTAATCCCCTTGCCCATCCATATAATGATATAAGATTTAGCTAAAGCAACCTATTAGAATAGACAATAGTCACATATTTCCAGTGGCTGGTTTTCTGAATGCTCAATCCTAGTTTAACTTTCAAAATCCAGTAGAGAGCAAATTATGAGTCTTCATTCAACCTTTCTTCTAGCAGATTTTAAAAAATAATTATTCTAATTAATTCACAGAGTAAATTCAACACAGACTCTTAATCTGTTAAGACGTTACTGAATTACTCCTAGATGCCCTAGTTACTCACACAGGCTCATTGTGAACACCTCAAGCTCTCATATAATAGACCAAATGACTACACTTTACCTGCATAAATTCCTAGGTACCAGTTAAGATCTAGCGTCTCAGTTACATTTCCTTCCCCATTTACGGTGCCATTCAGAGCACTTTGTTTGTTTGCCCTAAGGAAGGAACAGGGAGAAAATAATTATTAAGCTATAGATATATTTTAAGTAAATACAAAAAAAAGGAAACTCAATTTGTGAGAAATGTTTTATGCTAGAAAATGATTCTAAGCTCACATAGTCCTTTGTAAATACATTTTAATTCTATCTGAATTGTGATTTTCAGTTCTCAACATGTAGCTAAGGATCAGACATGGCTAGAGACCACTGTAAGTCACTACAATTAAAACAAGAACTTTAAGTTTTCTTCAGGTAACAAAGTGAGGATTAGAAGAGAAGACTCAACAAATTCTACCTCTCCCTGAAACCTATAGAAAAGTGAGATGACTTATGGATTTGAGAGAATTTAGGTCAGATCAGGATAACTCACCAGTAAGAAAGCCACCAGTCCTGAAGGACATAGAAAACCTGGAGGAGAGAAAAGAAAACAGAATTGGCAAGACTTCCCAAATGGAAACTCTAAATCCCTAAGCTGTATACTGCACAGCAAGTTTCCAGAGGACAGGATGATCCTGGCTGGCTCCAATTTATGCCAAGCCCCACTTCTCAGATAAGAGGTCAAGGCTAATATCTTAGAAGATGCCTCCTTTTCTACAGGGTTTCTGTAATGTACATGAAACCCCACTTAGCATCACTCATGTTCTTCCCCCACAGACAGCACATGGTTGTAAATCTCCAAAAAACTGTACAATATATCTATCATGGCATAAATGTAGTTTCTAAATAATACTCTGGAGGCACAGTTGTCACTGTGTACCTGAGCTGCCATGTTCAGCAGAATGAGGAAAATGATGATAAACCAGGATGCACCAGCTGTGAAGTAATTCTTGTAGGCCTTGAAACCAACTTTTCCTTCAGAACGGCTCTCCTCTGATTGCGTTACCTGTATATTCTCTGTCTGTGAAGGGGGTGGGGAGGGAGGAAGGTGGGTGATAAATCATGAAATAGTACACAAAAAAAGTTTCCAAAAGTGACAATACACCCTGTTGGCAAAGTTCTGGGAAAATAGGCATGTGATTCACATCTGGCGGGAGTCCAATATGGTAAATCTTCCTTGCAAATATCTGTTCAATCCATCAAAGCATGTACCCTGGGCCCTGCTGTCCCACCTCTACGTGGCTACAAGAAAGTAGCATCTGTCCATTGTCGTGTGGCTTTGCTTGAAGGACAACACCATGATTTCCAGCATGTGCTTAATACCCCAATTCAAAATAACAGCAAAATGATGTGGAACTAAGATGTCACTGAGTAATGGAAATGACAGAGGTGGGGTCCAAGAAGAGCACATGCTTAGCAGATGCAAGACCCTGATTCAATCCCTAGCACTAAAAGCACCATGAATAAAAACCAAATAAAAGAGAGTACTGACTCAAACTATTAGCCAAATACAGCTACTGAGTTCAAACCTTTGGGGAGAACAAGGGATAACATCTTTTTATATCAGAACCATCCAGGCTTCTAGATCTGAAGAGTGGGGATTTGGATAGCAAGGATACCTGTCTGTATAGTCAGACCTCTACATACCCAATCACAGATCAAAAGTATTCAAAGGGGGAAAACTTCATTGGTACTAAACATGTATGGTCATGCCCCTTGGCACTCTTATAACACAGTATAACAAGTATTTACATAGCATTTGTATTGTATTGGGAATTATATGTAATCTAGAGATGACAAAGTTTATATGAAGATGTACAAAGGCTATTTACAAATATTATGCCATTTTTACATATGCAACTTGAATTTATTTACACTTTTAGTATCCCCCAGGGGTACAAGAACCAATCCTATGCCATGTCAACATGAAGGGATGAATCTATTTTCTTAACAGTTTATTTATTATTTTTATTTTATATGGATGAGTGCATTGCCTGCATGTATATAAGTGTGCCTGTGTCATGCAATACCCACCAATGTCAGAGAGGGACATCTGATCTCCTGTAACTAGAGTTACAGATGGTTGTTAGCCACCCAGTGGGTGCTGGGAATCAAACCTAGGTCCTCTGCAAGAGCAACGGGTGCTCTTAACCGCCAAGTCATCACTCCATTTTTAAAGGAGCTGCCCCACGACTCTTATTTTTAAGGGACCTCTTATATCTGCCTAGAAGACCTTCAATACATCACAGACGCATATGAGATGAGGATGCACTTGTCTTTATGATGGTTATTGAGCATTCAGTGATAAGATATGGCTCTCAGGCTGCTAGAATAAAAAAGAGAGGAACTAACTCCGAAATGTCCGTGATGTGCAGAAATCACAAGGTCTTTGCCAAACAAAAACCATCTGGACATAGGGCAGACAAATCTTATCAGCTACCCACAGTGTTATATTCTAACAAACAGGAAAAGTAGCTGATTTAATGTGACACGGCAGGATTCAGTCTAAGGTATTCCTCACGTTCAGTCTCTGGATACAAAAACAAAGCCTGGGACCCCTGAGCAAGTAATATTTACCTATGCTAAATTACAGACTTTATATATCCACATCAATCACACAGATCTTTGGAACTTCTAGCACCACAGCTATTTATGGATCTCCATGAAATTCTCCAGCCCATACCCAAAGAAGAGCGCCAGCCAGGCTGGTTCCCCTTTAGTCTGTTTTTTTGTTTGTTTTAATATTTTATTTATTATTATTTTTTAAATATTTATTATTTTTTATTTTATTTTATGTGTATGTGTGTATTTCCTGCATGTAGGTAAGTGCACCCGTGTCGTACAATGCCTGCAGAGGACAGAAGAGGATGTTGGATCCCTTGGAACTGGAGTTACGGAGCATTGTTAGCTGCCATGTGGGTACTAGGATTCGAACCTGGGTCTTCTGCAAGAACATTCAGTGTTCTTAACCGCTAAGCCATCTCTCCAGCCCCCCCCCTTCAGTCTCTTTTAATTCTACCAATGCCATTGCATAAGGCCTTAGAATCATAGACTCAACTTTGGGACAAATGAAATTGCCACAAACAGAGTGGATCAAAGAGTCATGAGGCCATGCAACATATCAAGAACTCACATCCTGGCCCTCTGGAGCACCATCTTTCAAAGAGGGTCTGGATGACTGTTGGGACCAGATGGAGGACTCTGAGAAGGTACGATTCCTCAGCGTAGGAGTTCCTGGAGCTGGGGACTGTTCCGCTTCCTCATTTTCCTTCTTTAAAAGGGAACCAAAATCGACTCCAGATTTTAGAAACTCAGTATAAGTTCCCTTCTGTACCATTTCACCCTAAAATAAAACGAAGAATTTCAGAGGAATATGTCTGCATGTGATAACACTAATCTACTTGAATAAAAGTCAACTGGTCTTAAATTATGATCCCCCCTTAAGTCTGGAATCCTGGTTGACAAACCTGGAATAACTCTACTTGACACCTAACTGACATCCTACTTTCTGCCAAATCCTCAGTGCTAGGGGATATAAAAGAATTGTGTAATCACACCATAAAACCCAACTATCATGAGCTTTTAAGGAGGCAAAAATCATAGAAGCTGGTTGGTAGGCATATCCACAGGGTCTTCTTGGTAAACATGGAAATTGATAAGTCTCATGCAACAGGAATTTCAAGAACAGAGCAATGTGAGAAAGGGATTCAGGACAGATACCTGATGGACAAGAAGGTATCAAGAGCACTCTGCCTAGGTAGGAAGCACTCACCCAGCCTTAGCTGGCCACCTGACCCTGCTGGGACAAGACATGTGCAATTTCATGGTCTTGGTCAAAGCCCCCCATCTAAACTCAAGATCCTCATTGAAAATTCAACATTCCACATAAAACCTCACTGAAGTTTCTCCCCTTACAAAGTTAAAAAAATAATGTACAGATATCTTCACAATTTTTACCCCATGAAATGAGACCCAGAGGATTTAGTCAAAGTCATAAATGAAATACCAGGCAAAATCTGGGACACAAACAAAATCAAAGGAAAGCAGCTCTGAGGTGAAGGCAGGTCAAGTTGGAGAAGATGGCCCTAGACCCCACATGTTAGAGTTTGATAGCTAAAGAATTAGAAGATTATTTCTGATACACTATGTCTTGATGCACTTAGGAGATAAAAGTCCCACACTTCATTATCAGTAAGACACACACAGAAACCACTACCGATACTGAGAGGAAATTTCCTGAGAAGCCAAGTCCTAAGAATTCAGAGAGGGACCAAGAGGGCAGCCAGCTCTTCTGCTGTTAGAGATGAGCTGGTCCAATAGTAAGAGTGGACCCCATTCCTCCAGGGTCCCCACCAAGGGACAAGTAGTTATTTAAAATACTAAAGCTAAAATTCACAATACATAGGAAGCAGGTCCTCAAATGCAGTCCCCATATGGAGACTGGTGACAAGGCTATTCTACTAACTCTACATTATAACATTCATCCCTCTGCACTCGAAATAATTGTTTTCCAGCTTGAGGAATCTGAGCTCGCTGTTACCAGGAGAATAGGAAATAGATGACACACTGAGTCACTGCTAAGAGGTAGCCATTCTGCCTTTTATAATCTTCCTTGGAGCAGGAATTTATTTGGTGGAGCTTTGATTGGCAGGTCCCCATGCTCTTTGGTAGCCACATTAAGCATCAAGGAGGCATTAAAAGACTTTTGCAAGCACTCTGTGATCATCATGCATCATTTTTTACCACAATAATATGTGATCCATCTCCTGAGAATAATGCATATCTCCCTGAGATACGGCAAACTGCGGCCAACATTCATTTGTCATCTCCATCTTTTAACCAAGAGACTGCAGAAGGATCCTATGGTTTAGATATGGTTCAATTATTTGTGTTCCTTCAAGGTCCACTGTGACCAGAGGCTTAGCCCCCACAGTGGCATTATTACGAGGTTCTGGAACCTTTGGGAGGCAGGACTGTTGGGGACCCCTGTTGTGTAAAGTAGCAGTCTCTCCATGTCCGGATAGCCTATGGGCTCGGCTTCAAATGCAGAGACTCCTTTTATCAGCAGAGTGCCTTCCCGGCATCTTCCTGACTCATCTTTTGAAGTAGCCATGGCCTCCGGCTCTGGAAACTGCCAGCCTTTCCTGTGTGATTTTCAGACAGTCTGGCAGCCTGGCAGGAGCCCACCTCTACATGTAAATAGGGTATCCCACAAAGTACCTATCAGCTAAGGTTTTTACTACCACCCCCATAGTATAAAATATCCTGGTTTTCCCTCAATAATCGGAGCTGGATCACCGAGACTTGGAGCTGAGCTAAGTCACTGAATAAAGGGGGCTGTACCACTGACTGAGCTGAGTCCTGTGTCTTACTGCCTACGGTCCAGTCTCCCCGGGGGGCGCTGTCCTTCCGTCATCGACTCACGGAAATCCAGCTTTAGCTGTACCGCACCTTCCCGCGTGACCCGGCAGCTGACGGATCTCTCACCTCGAGGAAGTGCACGGGTGAAATTGGGGCGGAACTTGACCGGGCCAGCCCCGGTAGCAGAGACCCATAGAGACGCGGAGAAGCAGGGACCCGCCAGCAACGTGGAGCAGATGCGCCGCGGGACCCGCCGCTTCCCAGGTGCGCGCAGGAGACCGGGCCACGCTAGCAGCTGGCACCCCGAGATCCCTGCGCCCCCATACAGGACCTGGTGGGAGGCCAGGACAGGCAGACTCCAGCACAGTGAAACTGCAACTTCCTGATATCTCAGTCATCAGCTCATGGTACTTTATGAGAGCAGCTTTAGAAAGTTATGGGGGTATGTTCCCAAAGGGACTGTGGGAACTCAGCCCCTCTGATGTCAGGTTTTGTGATATAAGCTCTTCCCCATACATGTGCTTCTCTATAATTTCAGCTGGAAGAGCCTTCTCAGAGCAGAGCCCATGTGGGTGCTGTGTCCTCTTTTCTCTTTATAAAGTGACCTGTCTTTGGTATTTCACTATGGTAACTTAAGGATGAATAATACTGATGGGAAGTATTAAACATGTGAAGGTACTAAGGGGGCAGTTTTCTATCTATGACAAAGAATTTGACTCAGAGCGAGCTGCAAAAGATACACACGGAGGCACAGAAGCAACCACAATGAATTCTGAAAAGTTCTTGCTAACTTCAATATCCCCCAAGTGGGTGGCTGTCATAGGTTAAATTGTGTCCCACCTCCCCCAAAGACTCAAGCCCTAAATCTTGGTACTAGTTAATGTGATACTGGGCAAGAAGATTTTTGCAGATATCAAGTTAAAACGAAGTCATACTACAGCAGGGTGGATTAATGTTCTAAGAAGAAACCCAAACAGACATGTTCCATACCATATGACCACAGAGACAGAGACTCCAGTGCTTCAGCTCTAAGTCAAGGAAGGCCAAGGATAGCCAGCCAAAGACCAGAAGGTAAGAGGCAAGGAAGGGCTCTCCCCAACAACCTTCAAAGAGAGCACCGTTTCTCCAGGGCCTTACTACCCTCAGACCTGCAGACTTGGGCACAGCGAGACAACTTCTAACAGCTTTAGCTACCAGCTCCAGAAGCCCTAGAAAACTGACAGGCCAACCTAAGCACAAACTTCTGCCTTCTAAACTGGAAAGACTGACTTCTAATTGCTTTTGCTACAGCTCCAGTGAGTGGAGTGTCCTGTGAATCTTTTATAATCACAAATGAGAATGTATCCCTTCTCAGTTGTGGATCAAACAGCAGTGGCCATCTCAGTCCTAGGGAAAATGTCCTGTGTTCTGAGACCATCTCTCTTCATGCCCCCAGCTCACTCAGCACCAGCACAGAGCCTCTATGCTATTCCTCCAAACAGGCCAGGTGGCTTCATTTCCCAGGACCTGCTGCCGATGTCCCTTCCCCAGGTAATAGCACAGTCAGTACCTTCCTGTCAGTGTTCCTCGGGTTTCCTATCACAGTTACTCTGGACAAAATGGGGCCCTACAATGGCAAGGGATCATCTTACATATTACTGTGCTATGAATCAGGCACTCCAACAACCGGTCACAGTGGGTAGGCAGCTCTAGACAGGGGATGCTCAGCTGCTTACAATGTTTTGTTATTAATAGAAGATGCTCTTTAGGCGAACTGGGTAACAATTCAACAGACTGAAAGATATCTTAATATCTGTAGTTTCCAAGTTATCTACTGTACCTTACATCATGGAAAATGGAAACAAAAAACCTCTACAGAAGATGACATCATTCTACAATTAATATCACTAAAGGTTAGAGCAGCTGTGAGCTTATAAATCTGAGGGAACAATTTTGAATTCTATCAGGTAACTATGGTTCAGAATGTGAGTGACATTTTTGTTTTGGGGTAGGTTTTTTTTTTTTTCCCCCTTTCATTTGCTTGGTTTTGTTGTTGTTTATTTTTGTTTTGGTTTTTGAAACTGGCTCTCATGCATCCTAGCTTGGCCTCAAACTACCCATGTAGCCAGGGATAAGTTTTAACTTCTGATCCTTCTGCTTCTGTCACATGAGTGCTAAGATAACAGGTGTGGACCACCAGACCCAGTTTCTGGGGTGCTGGGATGGAATCCGGGACTTTGTGCATGCCGGGGAAGCACTCTACCAACTGAGCCACATTCTCAGCCCTCATAGTGAATTTCTAAGAGTCCTTTGGATTGAGCCTCAAAGATGTGAATCTCAGCTCTAGAGAAGGGACATGAAATTGGGGAGGGAGAGAGAATTTCCCAGGAAGTCCATAGAGGGTAACCTGCTGGGAGACTCTACTTTCAACACACCTGAGTTCTAGCAAGTTCAGTGAACATCTATCCATAGCTCTCTTTTTGAGAAGCCCATATCCATGTTTGAAGCATATCTCACTTTCTTCTCAAGTTCCTTTTTTCCTTACCCCTCGTGCTTAAAATCTATGCTAAAATCTCTTAATAATCTCCTGTATAACCACTTTAATAAAAAATCTCTTAATAATCTCTGCTTTAAAAAAAGAAATTACTTACGTCTTTCAATATCAGGATATGGCTTGCAGCTTTTAGATACTGCAATTGATGAGTCACTAAAATTGTGATCTTCTCATGCAAGGTTTGACAAATACACCTATAAATGTAAAAGACACCAGAGGAGAAGACACATTAGTGGACATTCTCCAAACTGCAAGGCAAGAGTTCAAGCCATAATAAGACAAAACCAACATGACAAAGCTACACATTTTAAAAACATAAATACAAATTAAATAAAGGTTGGAGAGATGGCACAGCAGTTAAGAGTGCATACTGCTCTTGCAGAGAACCCAAGTTCAGTTCCCAACACCCACATGGGTGGATCACAACCACCTGTAACTCTAGTTTCAAGGATCCAAGCCCTCTTCTGGACTCTGCAGGCACCTGCACTCATGTGCATATACCCACATACAAACACACATACATATTTAAAAGCAGTTGAACAAGAGTGATATTCTAAAACCTGACAACTAAAATTCTAACTATCTTACTGTTATGTAGGAATGGAGAAGAAACAGATTGGTGTCATAAAAATAGGGCTATTTTTCTTAGATGGTTACCTAGGTGATTATTTATGAAGTACACAATTTAATCTTTTAGGGGCTAGGGGTATAACTCCGTTGGTACAGAGTATACCTAGCATGTACAAAGCCCTTGGTTTGAACTCCAGCACCACATATACCAGTGGAAGTACATGCCTCTAATCTCAGCACTAGGAAGGTAGAGGCAGAAGGTTTAGAAGTTCAAAGACATCCTCAGTTATATAACAAGTTTAAGACCAGCCTGGGATACAAGAGATTCTATCTCCAAATTAATTAATTAATTAGTCTTAGAGTCTCAGAGTCTTAGAGTCTCACACTTTATTAAAGCATGCTTCCCATACCCTTCTTCCTAATAACAATAGATAGAAAAATGAATAAGGAAGCCACAATCAGTCTCCACAATACTCCTGTCCCATTCTAGAAGCAAATTTTCCTGTTAGGACTAAAATATTCCAACTATGAAAAGGAAAGAACACAATGACCGCAGTACACAACCTTCGAGGTTTTGATTACATCCTCCCACATTCTCAAAGCAGACCTGGGAGGGCTCAGTCTTAGCACATCTTCAGGTAAGTGGAAACAGGCTAAGGGCCACAGGTAGAATTCCTGCAGCTACTCTGGGCTCACAAGTCCTGGCACAGGGCAACTGGCAGGAATGTAGGCCGTAACCTGGCAGGCTGAGGGTGTCAGATGGAGAGTCCAGGAGAAACATGAAATCAGAACTTTTCAAAGCCCTGTTCTATGCTTACTGGCCTGATGATACTGAGCCAGTTACTAACCCTTTTGGAACCTTAATTTTTTTCTTTTTTTAAATTTTAAAATTAATATAATGATTATGTTTAAATAACAACTTAGAAGACACTTCAGAGTAGGGTGTGGTGGTACATGCCTTTAATTCCAGGCAGAGGCAGGCAGATCTCTGTGAGTTCAAGGCCAGTCTGGTCTACATAGTGAGTTCCAGGCCAGCTGGGGCAACAGGGAGACCCTGTCTCAAAAAGACCAAGACACTTCAGAATTCAACAGCAACTCTATTCTTCTGTCTTCTCCATACTGGAAATGATCCTATCAAATGTTTACATTCTTTTTTTTTTTAATTCACTTTTTATGTGTTTCATACAAAACATCTTAATCATCTTTATACCCTCCCATCTGCACCCTCCCACAGATCCCCTCACCGCTGGATTTCAAGCATTCTGTCATTTATGTTAAGGTCTATTGTGTACCCAGATGTCTCTCAATTCAGGTTCATCCACTGGAGTCTAGTCAGCCTATCTGGAGACACTTTCTTGAAGAAGATCAGCTCTCCCTCACCCACCCACCTCAATTGCCAATAGTTCTTTGGCTAAGGTTGGGGCCTGCTGCCCATTTCTCCAGCTCTATGCTGGGTTTTTGTCTGCTTGAGTTTGCATGAGTCTTGTGCATACTGACACCACTGTTGTAGATTCGTATGAGTAAGGTCCCAGGAGCCTGTAAGACTCTGAGAAATAAGAGCACAAATCCGGGAAAACAGCCTAGAATATAAGTGATGATGTATAATGGTCAGTCTACCCTCCACTCTTTCCCTAAACACTAGTCACTGACTTTCAATGTGGGACTAAAATATCTTTATAAAGTAAAAGTGCTCTTTGGAACTGGATCTATGATCAAAACCTATACTTCACACTCTACATGTAGAAACTATTGCTTCATGCTTTCAACCAGAAGGACAAATGTGCTGGATAGCTTTAGTGTCAACTTGACACACTTGGGTTGAGGGAGCCCCAACTGGGCAATTGTCTCCACTGGACAGGCCTGTGGCCATGTCTGTGGGGGAATTTTCTTGACTGTTGAGTTATGAGGGAGGGCCCAGCCCACTGTGGGCAGGTGGGCCTATGTTATATAAGAAAGCAGGTTGAGCATGGGCCAGGGGAGCAAGCCAGTAACCAGCGTTCCTCCATCACCTGTGCTCCAGCTCCTGCCTGCAGGTTCCTGCCCTGAGTTCCCACCTTTGGCTCCCTGATAAACTGTGACCTGGGAGATGTAAGCTGAATAAACCCTTTCCTCCCCAAGTTGGTATTGGTCGGAGTATTTTGTCACAGCAATGGAGAAACAAACTAGAACAATAAATTTTCCCTTTTGGCATATCTTAATGTTGCATAGTTCTTACCCAAGTCTCTGAACCCACTAACCCCTCCTGGGTAGAGCACTCAAGCTTTTACCTGAGCTATTCCTCCTTCTTTCAGAGTTACTGCCATTTACTCCTTTATAGAAATATTTCAAGGATGATGTTAACAATCCAGTGCTAAGGACAAGAAACCTAAGAAGGCCCGTGTCAAAGGTTTCAAAATGCTTTCTTCCTAACTTCCAGCATAGATAATGTAAATAATTATAATAATGTAATTGAGGCCTCTACTTTTTCCGTAAAGTAGGGTTGTTGTTGTTTTTTTCTCTAGAATGTCTAGGGAAATATTCTCTAATTTTTTTTTAAAGTAAAACTTTCTAAGCCATGACATAAAAAATTATTTTACAGAGACATGGTCTCACTATACTGCCCATAAGAGCCCAGAAACTGCCTCTGCTTCCCAAGTTCTAGGACTATATACTTGCACCCCACTATGCCTGACCATGCCATACAAATATTGGCTAGTTCAATAACGAGTCATTAAATTCTGATCCCATACAAGCACTATGAAGAGCTGACCATACCACTACAGCTCTACAGTACCAGGGTGGAGGCGGCAGGGACAAAGGTAAGAAAGACAGAGTCAGTACTTGGATTCATTTGGTTGATACAAGTAGCTGTAACACAGTGCCAGACATTGTTCTAATTGCTAAGAATATACCTACTGGCCAAGCAAACCAACACACCGACACCCTGTATCATATGGAGGAGACACACTAACTGAATGTAGAAAATGCATTTTTGGGTCATGAGGTGAGCGATAAAGAAAAGCAAGGTAAGTTGCTATTTTAGGGGGAAGGGAATATAAGGCCTCTCTGCAAGGAAGAAACATATGGTACAGCAGGGTACAGTGGCTCTGGGATGTTTCCGTGTACTCAGCCCAGTGTGGGCATGAAGGTGATCTAGAACCATTGTGTGCTATGCGTCATGGGCTATGAGTATTTCACCAGATGCCATTACAGAAGACTATGATACCCCCTGAAGGAGGAGGGAAAGGCAGGCAGGTAGGCGAGTCTATGTCTCTGCCTGATACATGGTGGCCCACCTCTGAGAAGGAATACTGAAACAAGGAGATGCAGAAAAGAGCACTCCTCCTTCAAAGGGCTCCACCTATGTCAGCATGGCTGGAAGAGTGGTTTATGTAGAGAATGTATAGACAAGTGAATGGGACAGATTGCAAACAACACTGTCATCCTTCCAAAAGTTTGAACTGCATCCTGCCAGTGAGAGAGAGTCGGTCTGTGATGAACTGAAGCAGGGAGGGTGAACCACTGCTGAACATTCATAACTGAAATCTAATCACCAGTGTGATGGTATTAGGAGGTGAGGCTTTTTAATGGGAATATGCCATCATGAACAGGATTAGTGTCATTCCTTATAAGAAACCCAATGGATATACCATACCCCTTCCACCACATGAGGACAAAGCAAGAAGACTACTGCCTATGAATCAGAAAGCAAGTCCTTATGAGACACCAAGTCGGCGCACACTTTCACCTTAGGCTTCCAGCCTCCACACTTTGTCACAGCAGCCCTTACCAACTAAGACAATGAGATAGGTAGTGGTGTGGGGTATCTAATTAGGACAGACCTGAAAAACTGATTATAGAAGAGAGAGGGGTCTGTGATTTTGAAGCTTTCTATAATACAAGATCCGTAACTAGCATTAGATCAGACTGGCATCAATCTGGGGTCGTTAGTCTTTCTGTATCTGAGAGATACACTTCCTATGTTTATAACATATAGCTATAAAACTTACAAACCTTCATAACCTTGGATGGATATTCATGATTGAAGTTAACTGTTAATGGCAAACAGAAGTATAATTCATTCACTTTTAATACAAAACACTTCACATTTCTAAGCTTTAACACGACCGCCATCTTTCATAGCATATTGTTCAATCCAATTTTCTAACTCGTTGAGAACATTCTCAGTTGCTGCTGAGTGATTTCCTAAATTGCATTCGTGCTCCCTGCTCTGAGTTTCCCCAATGAATGTGGTTCTGATTAGCAAACAACAATTTTAACAAGCTTGCTTCTATCAAGTGTATATCCAAAGTCATTAAACCTTAAAGGTGCGAGAAGACTTTATAAACACCTTTGTGTTCCAAGGGAAATTTGGGGTAGCCATTGTGATATGCATACTGACACTTAGCTATTAGAATGCTTTCTTCTCTCCTCCTGAGAGACTCTACCACACCATGCCACCAAGAATTACTCTCTGAGTGACAGAGAACTTGAGTCGATCCACTCAAGGCTCACCCAAGTAGCAAAGGGCTGCCTCTACCCAGAGGAAAATCCATCAAGTCACAATTAGGAGCAGGAAAGGAAGGTCAGATCAGAGAGCTGGGTCAAAGCCAAATGCCAGCTATTCAGGGTTTCTGCATTCTGGAAGAATCAATGCTAACATACATGCATTTTTTTTATTGTGGTAGACTACACATAACAGAATTGACCACATTAACCATTTTAAGTGTATAATTCACAAGCATAACATTGCTCCATAACAGCCACTACCATCCACATCCAGAATATTTTCATCACCCCAATACCATGAACATTTTATATCCTCATGCTGGTAAGGAAACATTTAGTCTCTCTCCATCACCTCCCAATCCCCACACCAAGTCCCAGGTCACTCACGCTCAACCATGTGTTCCAGCCCCATAATCCAGAGTCTGGAGATGTGTTATTTTATTATGCTTGAATCTCTATCTTTTCTTTGCTATTTATGAGCCTGCAATGAACAAACTCCACTCCCCCAAACTTGTATGTGGAAGCCCAATCCCAACACTTGATGACTAGAGACAGAACCTACAGAGAGAAAATTAAGTTAAGAGAGGCTGAGAGGATGGGTCCTCAAGCAACCTGACTGACAGCCTTTTAAGAAGAAATCTGGCACAGCCATATAAGGAGAAAAAAGAATGTGAGGACACAGTGAAGAGGTCGCCTTGCTGATCCAATAAGACACTGTGATCACAGACTGCCAGCCTCCACGGTTGGGAGAAACCAAAGCCCTGCCGTGTGCACCAGACAATCTGCAGCATTCCACTTTGGCAGCCTGAGCTAAAGAACATCAGACCTTAAAGCTAGCATTTCTGAGCTCTTTCTCTGCTGTGAAATCTCTACCTTCTTTCTGCCTGAGGGAAACATGCGTGCTTGCTGCTCTTTTCCAGAACCTAGCTTCTCCCCACCTCTACACCTCCACATCTACGGTTCCTTTTGCCAAAGGGAAGGAAATTCTATTCTCAGTGTCCCCAAACCTCTCAGCCTGTAGAACCACAGGCCACTTCCTGCCAAAACCAGCCCATAGAGCTTCTGGGTAGACTTCAGCCACATGCTGGTAGCCAGCCACTACTTCCTCATATTAACACAGACCGCCCTACACCAAAACCCCCTTTAGCCTAAGCTGGATAAGCTGAAGTGTTCCCATGTGTTCCACAAAGACACAAATTCCAGATGGGCAGGAATGAGATCTAAACTTTTCTATCCCCCTTCTTCTTCCTAGTGTGGTCCTTTACTTCTCTGGTTTACTCTCCCCTCCTTGGCAGGGTAAGATGTGCCATGCAGTGACATCTGTCACAGTATCTGTTTCAGTGCAAGAAAAGGCTTCCAGTAGTGCAGGTGAACAGGCTTGTAACCATCAGCAAGGAGAGGGACAGATAAGAAGCTAACTGGGGGCAGGCCTGGGTGCTGCTTTAATAAGACCAAGTTCACAAGTTTTCAAAAATGTCATTCTAGAATATATAAAAAATGCTGTTACAGCATACCCAAATAAGGCTCTGAAGTCTCCCACCTCATGGGCTCACTAGCTAAACAAGTGCCAAAGGGGGAAAAAAAAAAAAAAAAACAGAAAATACTCAGGTGAGAGAAAGAAATTAAATTGAATCCTTGGGGCCAGGCTTCACAGGCAAGCCAATCCAATACAGCTGTGAGTCTCAGTGTTAATTCTACTAAGAATCCATGAAGCAACACTGAACTCTTGAAACTGTACTGATATGGAACAAATCATTCTTAATTCTAGGCTTTTCTAATTATTTCCAAACTTATAGACTAATTAGCATAAACCAACAAGACCTGGAGGCCTTACAATGGTTCTGACACCTCACTGCTCACACAGAATAAAAAATTATGAAGAGTAGCTGGAGAGACGGCTCAACAGTTAGGAGCACTTCAGACAGACTCCAGGAGAAGGCCAGCACACACATAGCATTCATTCATATAGATACACATACATACATATAATTTTTTTTTAAATCTTTAAAATAATTATGGAAGAAAAAACTGACACCCCAGTACTATGCTGCCAAATCCCTTCCTTCAGTTAAAAAAACTGCATATCATCTTCTTCCTGGGTCTGGATCCTCCAGCCTCTTGGTTATGAACTTTAAGTAGCTGGAGGAAAGACTTTAAAAAGTTGCCTCTGTTTCTTAAACTCTAACACGTGTTCCATGCACTTCACTACAATGGCATCACCTTCCATATTTTCCTAACTTGACCTTGTATTTCTATGTTTTTTCCCCTCCTCTAAAATGGGTCATCCGAAGGGGAAGAGAGGGAAAGAGGGACATAAAGTGGGCCTCGGTGAATCTGTAGAAATTACAAAGCCTTCCTAGCCCACTCAAAAGGGTTCCTGAATTCAGAGATGACATAAGACAGAACAGACTCACAGCTGGAACAGGTGCTTGCCTACTTCTGCATCAACAGCACTGAGCGGATCATCAAGGAGGTAGATGTCGGCATCTTGGTAGACAGCTCTGAAAAGTAAAAAGAGGGTTCAGACTGAAGAATATCTCCCACTGGCCACTCTCTCGGATTATCGTGGCATTCATCAATTTGGTGTTCATTCAAAGTGTCTATGGAATAACTCAAAGCCAGTGCCTCATACTAATGCAGTGACCAGGCTCCACCTGTTCCCACTGGGTGGTCTTTCCACCCAAAGCTTCATAAAGGTACAAGCAGAGTGGCTGTGGAAAGGCAATTTACCGTGCCAGGTTCACCCGTGCTTTCTGCCCTCCGCTCAGTGTGGCTCCCCGATCTCCTATCACAGTCAGATCTCCATCCTCCAAAAGCTGTAAGTCCTGCATGGAGAAAAACAAGAGGAGGGAAAAGGACTTAAAGCTGTTCTTCCCCTGTCCTCTCACACCTTATAAACAAATACATGCATTTAATCAACAGCAAAGGACTTGGACATTTTCATGCTGTATTTCTGGGTATTTATGCACTTAACAGCTATTTGCTGAGCACTGACTAGAGATTAGGTATTGTTCTGAACAGTGACCTTGGCTGTGTAGGAAACAAAGTCCCTACAGCTTTCATATGACATATTTCACTGACAATATGAAAAAAACACATTAACAAAATGCATATGACAACAAGGACTAAGACAAAAGGAAGCTAGCATTGGAGGATGGAGAGGGAAGTCTATTTTCCATAGGGTGGTCACCAAGGGCTGAGATCAGGAGGGTTTAGGGTGGTATAGGCTAACCAAGATCTAGAAAAGTGTCACACAGAGGAAGGCACAGTATAAAGGTCCAATGAGCAGATGTATGCCTGGTGTGTTCAAAAGACAGCAACCTTCAGGTCATGGAGCCGGGGCAGAGTATCAGATGAGGCTGATGAAGCTGGAGGGACCACAGCTTTACTCCCATGAAATAAAGAGGAATGGCTTGATCTGCCTCATGTTGTAGATGGAATCATTGCCTTCTTTTTGTAGAAGAGATGGTGAGAGGGCAGAGGGCTAGCAGGCCCCTCAGTAAGAACTGCAGCAACAATCTACATGAGAAATCAGGGGCTAGGGAGCAGGGGATGTGGACAGAAATGGTCATGCTCAGGACCAATTTTTGAGGAAGACCCTTTAAGACTTGCTTATGGAAGACCATGTTGCTTTGGGCACAGAAAAGGGAGAACATGTCACAGATAACTAGGCTGGGGAAGGTGTCAGATACTTAAGAAATAAATCAGGAGCCCAGTGATGGTCAAAATGAGGTGCCTGCTGCTCCTAGCTAGGCAAATCTGAATGACACACTAAAGAATAGACATGAGAACTATCAGCACACATGGCTTTGAAAGCCATAGACTTATTTCATCACAGAACACATATGGCTTCACCAGCCATTTCACTAGTCTCTGCCCCAGCTTTTCACTCTGACCCATGTCTTCACAGGCACCACAATAGAATGGCAGATAAAAATCTACATAAGATCAGTTAGACTGAACAGGTGGTTTTTGTTGCATGAAAGCCAGGAGAGACTGAAAGCTAAGAAAGATAAGTAGTTCTTATTTGAAGATCTAGGAATCTTTCCTAGATTTTTAATTTTATTTACACTTTAATATTATTTAAGAATTAAATTGAGGGGCTGAAGAGATGGCTCAGTGGTTCAGAACACTTGCTGTTCTTCCAGAGGACCTGAGTTCAATTCCCAGAAACCACATGATGGCTAACAATCATCTGTAACTCTAGTTCCAGGGAATGTGACACCCTCTTCTGGCCTCTGTGGGCATTACATACCTATGGTGCACTTACATACATGCAGGCACAACACACATAGACATAAAAATATAAATAAAATAAATATTTCTAAAAAGAAATTGACAAAGCACAGAATCCTGGTGGGAGGGTGGCAAAACATCCTCTAAATAAAAGGATAACAATTAGGTTTAACACACAATAGGTATTAGAAATATTTACTTCCCTGTAATTGTCACTGGCAGGGTCTGGCATAGAAATAGTTTGGCAGAATTTGTTGCATCACATAAACCCTATGACAAGAGCCCTTTACAGATCAACCCTTGTTTCCTTGCCTCTGTTTTGACAAATCTGGCATCAAAGCCAATGGCACACAGGCCTCCCCATGAAAAGCAAGTCCTCTGACCTCCCTACGTCCTCTCCTACAAATGTCCTGGAGAAACATGAATTACTAAACTCACAGGATGCTATGCGTGAGAATCAAAAGAAACACCTGTACAAACAACCTCTGTGGGTAAGAAAATTGCATGAATCAATTATAAATTGCTATGGTGACTGTAAACCTATCTTCTGACCCAATCAACAGTAAAACACATCCATAGCATGAAACACACTACAAGAGAAAGGGAAACTACTGTTAGTGTAATTCACTCCTAGTAGCCCATAAAGAAACACAGCCACACAGAGCCCCCCCCCCCACTCAAGGATGAGCTGGACTAAAGAAAACGCGGCCACTGCCCTGTTATGAAAACTGGTCATATTTCACAGTCTCTTTGTTGAACTCAGACGTGGACATCATGTCTTTCCTCTGACTTTGTGAAAGACTAGGAGCCAATTTAAAATAAGTGCCGGCCACCACGTAGAGGGGTAGGGAAAAGGCATGCTTATAGGGCCTCTGACTCACTGACGTCTTTCTCTGTAACGTGTACCTCAAGCCCATGCCTTGATTTTAAGTTTTGTTTTCTTTGTCAAAGTATCATGTGGTTGGATGGAGCACAGCAAATCAATCCTAGCCCTTTTCCGAGAAGCTGCTTAGGTAAGGTTCAGACAATCAGCCAAAAACACACTCAGTAAAGAGTAACTGAGAATCAAACCCAGAGCTGTCTGACCCCAGGGTCTTGGATTTTAACACTCCCCTACAGTACTCCACTGTTCGGTTGTTTCCTGAGACTGATCTGTAACTCACTGAGATTACAGTGCAAATGTCGGCAGCCTGGAGGGAAGCTGCTAAGTGTGCGTCATTGCTCATTGTCTCATTTCATCTCAAGGTTTGTAGCTCAATGAACATACAAGTTTATTTCACTTAGATCTAATACAGTAAACCTACCTAATATATCTAATATGAGAAATCCAGTTTTTCTAGTTTTTCCTCTAGAAAAAAAGGATAAGAAGAGCTATAAAGAAAAGAGATAAGAAGGGATAAGAAGAAGCTATGAAGAAAAGCCTTTATGGGCTGGAGAGATGGCTCAGTAGGTAAGAACACTGGCTGCTCTTCTAGAGGACCCAAGTTCAGTTCCCAGCACCCACATGGCAGCTAACAACCATGCATAGCTCCAGTTCCAGGGAATCCAACATCCTCGTCTGGTCTCTAAGGGCACTGCACACATGTGATGCACTTACTTGTGGGCAAAACACTGACACATAAAATAAAAATAAAATAAACTTTAAAAATTAATAAAGAAAATTCCATACTTATTGATCTAACAATTTATTAATTTAGAAAAAAAGAGTGGTAATAGCTACCATTTACCAAAATCCTGTCATGTCTATATTTTACATACATTGTCTATTGTCTTTACAGTCAACCCAGACATTCCCCCATTTAACAAGAAAGGAAACTGGGACAAACACCTAGAGCTACCCAGAACAGTGTTGCTCCAACAGGGGAGGGTTTTCTACCTCACCTGTAGTCTACATACAATTTCAGGAAGCTATCATATATATCTTTATATTTACTCATTAACACACAGATTCAAAAAAGGAGAGGTGCTGAAGGTCTCAAAACACATTAAATATTTCTCTGGTTTCTTAAAGATTCTGATGATCACCTGGTAAGCAGACTCATAAATGCCATTCAGAACCACAGCAAAACTTAGAAACTTCTAAGCCAGTGTTTTCATTCTGCAGCAGACACCAGGACCACAATATAACATGATGCCCCGTGCAAAGTAATAACAAACAGGTGTCACGGCCAGGCCAGCATACCTGCTTAGGTCTACTCCTGCACCTTAGCTGCCTTCATGTAGTGGGTAGGAATGAGAACAGGACACTCATGCCACTCAGAAGAACAAGACAGACATCCATGCTCATAAACAACACACAGGAGAGTCACCATCCTCAAAGCCACATACAACCCAGGCCTGAGGGAAAGCTTATTCTTTCTGGAGCTTGTTCATCATGCAAAGACCCCCAAGGCGGTGGTCAGAGCCCAGGATGCTGTCCATGGTACTGGTCTAGTTCTCCAGTTGGCTATAGGAGAAACTAAACAGCAGCCCTTATCCCAACACTTGAATTCCTGAACAGATGTCCAAAAGCAAGAAGGAATAAGGTAGGGCTGAGCTACCCTAGGAATACAGGGGCTGGTATGAGCATCAAGGATTGAACCCAATTAAGGTAAAGAGTGAAGGCTTCATGTCTGTTTTCTTCATGTTCACCTACATCCATCACCTGATATTTCAAATAGATCTGCCTTATCAACAGCCTCAATTGAAAGGTAGCTGGGCACAAAGGGGAATGGAATTGGAGTAATACAGATAGGTTTGAACCTGATCAACAAGCGTTTAGGTGATTTGTTTCATATCTCCAGACCCTGTTTGACCAAGTGACAATGGTAACACTGAAGACATTGGGGCAGGGGGGCAGTGATACAGATGTAGAGATAGAGAATGGTGGACTCTGAACACAAGAGATCTATTAATATTATTCTGTGTTTGCTTCCCTGTCTTATACAGTGTGTGTGTGTGTGTGTGTGTGTGTGTGTGTGTGTGTGTGTGTGTGTGATGTGTGTACTTAATAAATATCTAGTTTGGCATCACTGACTTGATGTCATTTATAAAAACATATAACGTCTCACAGTAACCCAGAAGCCAATTCAATAAGAAATTATATTTTGGTCCACATCATCATAAGAAACTACTCAGCAATACAATCCATGATATTCAAGCTATTGTTCAAGTAAAATTACACTTTCCTCACAGAGCTAGCTAAAGAGCTTTCAACATCACACCTCTGAAAAATCTGTCTGGCCTTTTCCACAGACTATAAAAGAACAGTGAGACGTCCAGGCTGCACTGAACTGACCCTGTGGCGAGCCCTTTAGAGCTATTATTCACCAATTCTTATAGCCCAAAGCCGGTAGCCGTGTTTGCCACCATTTGCCTTTTGTCCTTTTGCTAACTCAAATTCTGTCAGGTATGTTCAGTTTTCATCAGTCATCCACCAGTTTCACTTAAATTACAATGTTTGCTTTGCTGTTTTCTGTGAAGCTCAGTGTCTTTCCTGGTGGAGTGATGTAGGATTTAAAAAGAAACTTTGGAACATTTCATTTTCTTTAAGAAAACAAAACACAAGATGGACTGGGATATAGCTCAGTTGGCAGGCGGCTTGCCTAGCACAAACTGGGTGTGGTGGTGCATGCCTGTAATCCCAGCACTGAGAGGTGGAGGTGGGATCTTCAGCTGCATAGAGAGTTTGAGGGTAGTTTGTGGGTACATGAGACCCTGTCTCAAAAAACTGGGAGGGAGGGAGGGCAGGAGGGAGTAAGGAAGGAAGAAAAAAGAGAAAACACAGGCCAAAAACAAAGTAGAGAGGAAGAGCTTTAGCCACCCATCAATAAGTACACAGTGCTGCTGACCTGGAGTCTGACTCAAAGCAATGGGTCAGGAGGGTTCCTAACTGAGATAACTAAAGAACCATACCCACTGGCCTCATTTCACTTCTGTTGTGTGGTAAAAAATCCTGATCAGAGCAACTGAGGGCTGATAAAGGGTTTTTTGAGAACACAATTCCAAGTTACAGTTTATCACAAGTCAAAGTGGCAAGAATTTAAAACAACTAGTCATATCACATACAGTTGAGAACAGAGAGAAATGATTTATATGCATGCTGCTTGCTTGCCTGCTTGCTCAGATCTCTGCTCTCTTTTACAGTATAGGACACTGCCTAAAGAACGGTGCTACATGCAGTAGGCTGAGTCTTCTCAGAACATCAATCAACTTAATACAATCCTGACAGACATGCCCACAAGTCAAGTCAATATGGACAATCCCTCATTGAGACTCTTCCCAGGTGATTCTATTTTTTTTTTTTCTCAAGGTAACGATTAAAGTTAACCATCACTCAGACTGTCTAAAATGTTGATCACTCAAACAATTTTGTTATTTTCTTAGATGTGATAAGGTTGTGCTAGATGTAACTATAAAAGGTGCAGGAGCCTCTTGAGAATAATGTGGGGTGAGTGTGGAGCTTCTGAAATTGGAGTAGAGATGATTAGAGTGGCCACAAGTTGACTATGGTTAGAGTTGGATGATGGGTACATCACCAACTTCTGCAAATATTTGTAACTGTTCAACATTTTTGAAAAGCTAAGGATTGGGGATATAGTTCATGGGCAGGGGGCAGGAACTCTCCTAGAATGAGCAAGGCTGTGAGTTTGATCACCAGCACATCAAAGATATAAGAATGGTTAAAAGTGAACAGAACTTGGGGCAGGAGAGATGGTTCAGTGGTTAAGAGCACTGACTGCTCTTGCAGAGGTCCTAGGTTTGATTCCCAGCACCCACATGGCGGCTATGAACCATCCTTAACTCCAGTTCCAGGGGAATCCGAAGCCCTCTTCTGACCTCCGCAGCATTGCACAACACAGGTGCACTTACATACATGCAGACAATACACTCATACACATAAAATAAAAATAATAAAATATTTTTTAAAAAGTGAACAGAACTTAAGAAAACCAAACACCCTAAAACAACATTCTGTAAATATTATCAAACCAGGATTAAAACAGTAATGAGTTCCCAAAAGATTAAACTATTTTAACAAAATTTTAAAACATCTTTCAAAGTAAACTTTCCAAAACCCTATAGTTTAAACCAAAAACAATAATATTACTGGAAAACTGGATATACGAAATAAAAATTGAGTATGTGAAAGACATCACTTACCTTTTTCAAAGCACAGGCCTTTATCACTTTTTCATATCGTTCCTTCTCATATTTCTTCCCAAATAAAATATTGCTCCTCACAGTTCCTGAGAACACCCAGGGCTGCTGGGAAACATAGGCAATTCTCCCATGCACACTGACTAGCCCATTTGTCGGGGGCAGCTCTCCCAGCACCGCGCTCAACAGTGAAGACTGCAACAGAGTTCAAAACACATGTGAGCAGTCATTACTCAGAACAAACCACTGTACTGCAGGCTGAGCAGCTGTGTGTGTGGGGGGGGGGGTGTTGACAAGTGAAAACCTCTCATTTACAATGGGAAGAGGGAAGTCACTTAGAAGCTGCAGTGAAAATTTGGAAACAGAACTACTGCCCAATATGATCCCCAATGGAGTGCTACATGGAAGGGCTAGATGCAAGTGAGAATGTTTGATGAAATGCTGTGTGCAGAGAGCAATGACTGCTTGACACAGTGTGTGCCTGCCATCTGTGCCCTTGGGAGGCAGACAGAGGAGTATCAGGAGTTCAGAGTCATCCTTGGCTACATAGAGCTTGAGGCTACATGAGACCCAGTCTCAAAAGCTTTAAAAAATGTTTCCAGCAACAGGGCAGCCCAGTAATGGTACACATTTCACATATTCAATACTGAATGAAACAGTTGCTGCATCCAGATAATCCAGATATCCTTTACTTGACCAAATACTTGTTCCAGAAAAGCCATGCTCTAATAAGGTATCCAATGCACTGGGGAAAATTTTTATTTAAAGGAACCCCGCAGAGCAAAACTTCACCATAGATAGAGGAATCTTTTGCTCCAACCACAGCACAGCCCATGGCTGCACTTGAACTAAATAAGCACTAAGGGTCCACTCTGACAAAACGAAGTCCCCCACTTTCTCAGTCATTCCAACCTGAATACTGTGGCCACAGAAATAATTCCCAGGAGTCAAATCCTAGTCAAAACAAAAAACTTACCTTGCCTGCTCCTACTGGGCCGACCACAGCTAACAATTCTCCAGGTCTGGCAGTAAATGAAATGCCTTGCAGGGTTGGGGTGTCTAAAGTCTACAAATTGAAGTTTACAAAAATATACTCATTTTTAGGAAGTAACACAATCACTTCGAAAAGTAGAAGAAAATCAACGACAGTTGATACACAAACACAACTACATCTCCTTTGTACTTAAGATACTAAGTTGTGACAACCTTTTCATGTAAGCACATTTCTTCATGGGGTCTGAAATAGTTCAGCAACTTTAAGTTTCGTTTATTAAATAAACTTGAGTCTGTTTAGGAAGAACCACTCTTTTACCCCAGATTTCCATATGAAAGCAGCTCTAGACAGCTCCAGAATTCAAGCGGTAGAAAGCACAAGGCAGTCTTCTTGGAATGAAAGCTTCTGAGCTCATACTGACTTACTAAAACAACATTGTTAATAGAATAGTCCATGCAGGAGGATTTTAATCATTCTTAGGTTTTTGCCAGGACCTTTGGTTTTAGTCTTCTATTACACTAACACCCACAAGGTGGCAGCACACGTATATGGCATGTCCAGCCCCCAATGAACAATTCGATTTTGTTCCTAGTCTTTGTCAAATTCATTGTCAAAATGAATCTTAGTGATATACCCAGGACACAAGAAGACATTTGATATGAAAACTGAGAAAATAAGTCCTACAGACATGGTCAACACTTAACCAGAGCTTGAACTTAACAACAAACATGGAAGAAATTAAGCACGGTTTATGAGTGATAAAGTCTGTCTTATATCTGTGGCATTCATTACCTAGCTGGCTAAACAGAGACAACACAACGCCACTAAAAAATCACGGAGGCTCATGCTACAACACAGAGGTGGGGGAGGACAATAAGGCACTCCTTATATGATCAGAAATCACATTCCTGAACAATCTATACATTTTAATATAAAGAGATGTAAGATTATTCCTACTGCTCAAAATCCTAAGTGCTCTGAAATCTGAAACTTCATGACATCACAAGTAGAAACTCCATTGGATAAAATTACACTAAGGTTATGTGTATAAGGTGGATGTGGAACACAAATGAATTCCATGTTTAGACTGGTCCCATGTCTAAGATATCTCATTATATAAATACAAGGAAAGATTTTAGAAGTCTGAAAACATCCAAACTTTGAAACACTCCTGATTCAAACATTCAGATAAGGGATACTCAATCTGCACTAAATTTCAAGAAAAGTCTTAATCATTGCTGCTTTTCGTTTTATAGTTTTTCAGTTGAATTTCTTCAAGGTCAAACTGAATTTACATCTTCTACACAGAACTTCAAAATCAAGTGAGGGAATGAAATGTGTGTTAGGAGGAAAGGGGGATGTTTAATAGAGCACCATAAACCTGAAAGAGGTTTCCTTTTCCCACGGAGTGACAATCAGCACGTTGAGTTATCTAGGCTTCAAGCAAAAATCAGCTATATGAAAAAGAATGGTTTTAAATTGGAACTATAGAACTGCAGTAGTATTAATCACCAACTGTAAGAGCTTTGTATGATCTGACATCAACATGTTCAGACAGCATAACACACTCAACTAACAGTAAATGTTAAAGGTGAAGATTAAAAGGCTGCTATTTGAAGACTGCTCTGAAGGGAACTCTAGTTCCAGTTATGAGCCCTACCTGCATTGCTCACAGGAAAAAGCTGTGTGTACTATATAGTTAACGCTATAGAAAAATTATCTGAACCCCAATCCTTTGGTAAGGCACCCCCTTAAAGGGGCTAATGTTCTGTACAACACACTGAAATACAGGAGCGAGCCAAAGGCAACACAGCCTTTGGAACTCAAGAAAATGATTCTACAAAATGAGGCTGAAGTCTCAGAAGGGCAGAATCCACTTGAACAAAGGAGGGCAACTATACAAAATCTGCCAGCCACCAGGCAGATTCCTCAATTTCTTGTATAGGCAGGGAGGCATTTGCCCCCTGAAGGAGGCTTAGGACTGAGCACTGCTCTTCTGTGGCCACAAGGGGGCAGCATGGGGGCAGGCCATAAAGCTCTGGCTCTTCATTTTCAGTGGTCCACACACCTCCCACCCTGGTGCTAACATTGATGAGCCCTGACCAGGAGCTACGCCATGCTCTGGAAAGGCAGCAGTGAGCAAAGCAGAGAACAATACCCCACCCTTCTGGAGATGTACAGGTCCTACAGAACCATAAACTGTAGAGCCAAGAGACAAAGTCATAAAAGAAAACTGGGTTAATGAGGAAGGCTTTCCCCAAATACCTCATCCTCCAGCAAGCTGTAATGGGACCCCTGTATGTTTTAACTCCCAGCCTTCTATGTTCTTTCTATTCCAGATTCACTTGGAAAATCCTCAATGTCTATGCTTTTCCCTCACCCCAAAACCTATGTGGACCTCACCAAAAGACCCCCCAGCAAAGGACATAAGCATCCTATAGACAAGGTCAGGGAAACAGATGGCACACTGAAGCATTCTGTATGCGGATACTAGTCTAAGAATATTTGGAAGAATAAAACAGCTGACTTCCGAATGTTGCAGAGTTTCGTAGAGAAGACATTTGGTTAAGGGGTCACACTTGTGCACACTGGCTTCCTGGTGCTATATCTAATCCAGCAGCATTCAGCCCGAGTGTTTATTTTATAGTGGAATTTTGGCAGTGATTCCTAGCAGCACTTTAAGTGTATTAAGCTGGAATATGCCACGCAGCTAAAGAGAAACTGCCAGGCCAAGTAAATCACCTTGCCTGAGTTTCCATATGCAAAAGATGCAGTGATGTGGTTTTGTGTCTCTGGAAGGCAACTATGCTAACCACTATACCACTAACTCCTTGTTTTCCTTATGTGGAAGCACATTATTGGTTTGTGGGTAGAGCTGACAATATTATATCAAAATTAGGGGGATGTGATGCAGGCCACACAGCGCTTAGTCATGGGCAGGTTTGTAACAAGAGTAGGAGTCTGTGGTTTGTCCTACAAGACAAGGGGAAGTGAAGTGAGGTTGCTTCCTCTCACCCTAGTGTAGGGACTACTTTCCCTGCAATTATTCCTCTCTGGGGGACCTCGCCTAACCAAGATGCTTTCATCACCTACTTAACAAATTCCCTGCATGAAATTCCTATTTCACGCAGTAGATTCTGTTTCCCAGACTGACTGATTGTAAGTTCTGCACAGAGGAACCAAAGCTCAGATGCAGAAGGCCCTGAAACAGTGGGTAGAGGGATGTGATGCACTGAGTCTATAAGTCTGAGTGAGCGCTTCCTTGTGGCAATCCCTGTTGTTCTACCTATTTGCCTATATGTCGTATGCAGTCCAAGTGTGGGAAGTCCTCAGGATCTGGCCTGTTTTACCTGTCTTCTTGGAACATGTTAAACCTTAGTTAGGATCTGAGAGCGTTTACTGTGCTGGCCTGCTGCCTCCTCCATGCCCCAGGCTGCCAATGATGTAACCAGAGAGTCCAGAGGCACAGAATAAGGGAGTCCCCACTCCAACCCTCAGAAAAAATGCCAAGCACAGACTTGGCACATTCAAATCAAACTGAAGCCAACAATGAAAGCTTTTATTAAAATGAGATAAAGAACAATTTTCAAAGACTTCAGCCTAATTTACCTTCCATTAATCACAAATCTGATTTTTTAGAATTGTTATAGCATATTTTCAGTAGATGAGTCAATCACCTTTAACAGTAAGTGAAAAATTATCAAAATTTCCTGTTAATTCAGCATCACCCACTGTGTCTTGGAAATCATGAGAATTCATTACCTTATCCCAGAAAGCAGTAAAATCTTGCACATGCACTATAGTTTTACCATCTGATGGCTCCTGGGCTTTGCGCTGTGGTATCTCATCAAGCAACAGAAAGTTCTAAAGAAAAGGAAAAACATGAACTGGTTTAACTGAAGGAATAAAAATATAAACAAAAACAAGTACTTCTAAGAAATGTGCAATATAAAACATCTTACAACTTAAAAAAATTATCGTATCAACTGTATTTGAAGTATTAGTTCATATGAGAAGGTGTTAAGCATTAACTGGCTTCATCTGCATATATATTCATATACTTTTACATTGTGATTTCACAAGCATGAGGGAAGCCTGCACAGTTTTCTCAACAAGTGTACTAGTTCCTTCCTAAAGTTAAAATACTGCCATATAAGTTAAGCACATGTAGAATTAGACATTCTTTACTGTTTGATTCTGTTTTTTTAATAGTAAACATGGGAGGTTGTAGGAAATGATTTGATAAATATTTACGGGATCCTCACCATGTACCAAGCATTATGCTAAAGTCAGATGAAATAGGATGGCCAGTCCGAGGACTTCAAGAACCTAGTCAGGCAGAACATGGGGCCTAGAGCAGAGACAGAAGGCTGGCTGGCTCTGCCCATCTGCCAGCATCTCTGTGTGAGTCCAATCAACATATTACAGCTTGTCATTGAGCAGTATTCTTACAGAATGCTCTTTACTCTTTCCATCTCCCAGAAACATTTGGTAGGGTGGCTGCATCTACCCGTGTTCATTTCAGCAGCTGGTCAGCTCACTTTAACTGAGTAAGTCCTGCTGACCGTTATATAACAGGAAACGGCCTTTGTGTACCTCAAATGCTAGACATAATTCATTCACAAAAGCTGCAATGAAAGTCAACCAAAATGGATCAAAGATCTGAAGGCCTGACCTGAAACTCTGAAATTGCTAGAGGAAACAGAAAGCATTTCAAAATACAAGCACAGGCAAAGGTTTTCTGAAAAGGACTTCAGCCTTCAGGAAATAACAGTAAGAACTAGCAGAGGAAGTAGAGTCAAGAGACAACCAACAGAAAGGGAGACTGTCAGCTGTTCATCTGATAGACAACGAATATCTAGAATATATAAAGGACTCAAAAAATGAAATGCCCCCAAACCCCAAATTATTCCATCAATAAGAGAGCAAATGAAATGAACAGTTTTCAAGAAACGAAGTACAAATGATCAATAAACACGTGGGAAAAAATGGCCAACATCTTTAATCATCAGTGAAATGCAAAAGAAAACTACACTGAGATTCCATCTCATCCCAGTCAGAATCTCTATCATATCTTTCAGAAGACAAATGATGGGGCTGGAGAGATAACTCAACAGTTAAGAGCACTGGCTGCTCTTTCCAGGGTTCAGTTCCCAGCACCCACATGGCAACTAATAGTTGTCTATAACTCCAGTTCCAGGAATCCAACGCCCTTTTCTGGTCTCCTCGGGCATTGCATGACATGGTGCACTTACATACATGCAGGCAAAACACTCATACAC